AAAGAGCTTTAAAATGAATGAAAAAATATATGTTTAAATGAAAAAGAAAATTGAGTCAATAAAATTTAAATTTTAATTGTTAATTATAAAAATTTAAGGGAGATAATAATAAAAATGTATGATGGTAAAAAATGAGGGAAAAAATTAAAAATGGGTAGTGATAAAAACGAGATATGTATGAGTGTAAGAAATAATTCGGTGAAAACGTATTGGGAATGATTGTATGATAATTTAAAAAAAAAGAGTAAAAAATGGAGATTTAGGTGAAAAAAAAAACGGTGTTAGGGATGGGATGGTGTAGAGTGTGTTTAGTTTGGTGAGTCAGTATAGTTTGAGTTGTTGTGAGTGTGATATGGACGGGATGGGGGGGGGGTGGTTGAGGTTGGATGGGTTGGGGGATTTTGGGAGGACGTCGTTTGTTGGGTTGCAAGGGGTTGTTCGGTTGCTGGGGAGGGGTATTTGGTTGATGGGTTGGAGTTTGGAATCTGATATATAGGTATCTTGACTTTTTGACGAGTTTCAAGGGCGTGGAGTATTGGAGTTGGGTTTGGTATTTATTCTCGGTTGGGGGGCGAGGGACCTGGAATTGGGCTTGGATACCGACGGTACCGGCTGGAGTCTTCGATTGTCATTCATCATCGGGTGGTATTTGGTTCTATGATGACAGGTTGCAAAGCTTGCATTTGTTGGGTCTTTTTCGGTGGGGGGATGGGGGGATGGTGGTGTTTATATTAACGCTCGCTTTTTTTTTTCTTTTTTTTTTTTTTTGAGCGGATGGATATTATTGTCTTTTCTGAGGATTCTTGGGGTTTATATGGTTCAACATATGATTATTTTAGTTACAGACGGATTTTTGGACAGTTAGTATAGCGGGATTTTAGCTATCAATGAATGGAGTCAAAAGTATTCATACACATCCAGTTGTGATCGATCATGGTAGAGGTTGAGTTGAGCTTCCCCCTTGAGACATGCGTCGAGTGTTTTAAGACACCAAGAACACCAAGACATGGACAAGAATGGTCTGGTCTCCGATAAGAAATCCGAATAGCCTCTTCCCTTTGGCGGTGCATTTACGATAGCCGCCAGAGCCCAAGCCCTGTGGGCATCGTTGCGCACCTTGCCTAATCCATCTCACGCGACAGGGTGACAGGTCGCCATCAGACCACCGCTGATGAGCACATTTTTGATCGGAGAGAGATTTAGTCAGCTCGGGGCTAGTAACTTTAGCGGGGATCCATAAAAGATGCCAGCCGGGGGTTCTCGTTCGGGATGCTCGCTGTTTGGGAATTCTTGTTGGGATTCGGGGATCTGTTGTGGTGTGGAGAGATCAGGGTTTGCGAGTCAGTTACCTGCAGGTTGGATCTGGGGGATGGGAGGAAGACCCAGAAGGGCCGGGAAGGGAGGGGGGTGAGGGAGGTCCACATTCTTATTCGGAATACCGAAGGATGGATAAGCCTTGATGATTGATGGTCGTTTGCTAACACTACGATGTGGCCGGGGGATCGTGACTGGTGGCATGGGGCCTGGCTTTTAGGTGGTGGTTATGCTACGTGGTCTGTTTGATGAAATGAGGGGAGAGTTCGTGGTGGATTATTGTGTTGGTGTGTGTGGGGAGAGCGAGCTTGAACAGCTGATGACGATAGGAGTGACGAGGACAGGTGCTGCCATGGAAAACCCTACACGGGAAACAGCTGAATGCCGATGCTGGGAAGCACCCAAAACGAGTTTGCCTCCCCCTTTTTGGCCAATTTTATGGAATCTGGGGTTTGTGTGGGCACGTGGGGAAGGAGGAGGTTTCGGACGAGGTTGTTGGAGTCTGGACGGAGAAACAGGTACCGTGGGTTTGATACAGGCTTCTTCCATGGGATGTCGGGAGGGATATGAAGTTGGGCGTTGTACAGTATGATCACTTTCTCGTGTTGACATGGAGTGAGTATAATCGTTACGTCTGTTGATTGCCCTCGTGACCAATCTATCAAGAAAGAAAAGAGAAATTCTAGGGGGGCCATTACCTTTTTTCTAGGGGGGCATTACCCCCCCATACCACAACGTATTTTTCTCATTACATCCATTTATTTCCACTATGACCAATATCGAAGTGAATTTTTTGCCTTACAAATTACAGTATATACTTTATGTTTAAAAATGTTGTGGTTAATATACTACCGTAGTGTTAATGCCCGATACCTACGCCCCAATACAAGCCTTCCACCTCAAACCACCTACCCCCAGGCCTTCAATTGTCGGGCCTTCATTTGCAAGTCGTGAGCGTTGATGTGGTTGATGATGTGGTTGATTATGATGTGCGAGGCTCAGGGACCATATATAACCCTAAACCCATGGGGGGTAATGCCCCCTAGAAAAAGGGTAATGCCCCCCCTAGAATTTCTCAAAGAAAAACATCGGTTGCAATATCGGAATGTGGGCGTTCTTCCGTCTCCTGCACTGTACCTACATGCGTATATACGCCGTACATCGACGGACATATGCTGCGATGCGTCGACACATAAGCGACTCCAACAATTCTCTGCCGCTTTCTTGGAGGTAATCATCTGTAGTTGGCTCGTTTAAGCTGCGGTTGTACCGCATGGCTGGCTCGTCCACAATGTATGCCCGTCATGCGACGCAAATCCGATAGCCGTCTGCGACGCTGGACGGTAGGGTGAGCACCTTATTATAGAGTGTCAAAGATTTCAGGCTGAATAGGCTCGCCTCGCGAGCGGGTGTGACCTAAGTGTGCTTAAAGATATTTTGGAGATGGGGTGACCAGAGGTTGGAGGCGAGTGTCGGTAGCAATGATCAGTGTGTCAGTCAACCCGCAAACTACCGAGATCTTTAGGGCATAGCTACCTAAGATCACCTCTTTGTAGCCTTCGGAGCATTCACCATAGTAGGATATGATACACATTACAGAACTTGGAAAAAGGATGCAAATCCCGCAAAAATCCGATCTGATCTGATCTTGTTGTGCCCCGCCCTCCGGAAACCGGAACGCGTACCTAGCGCCAGATGGATGGAAGCGGCCGCAAAAACGGCGTGGAGGCGGCCATCGCACCGGGATTTAAGGTGGATACTAGGTCCGGTATCTCCGGCCGCTAACAGCGGTTGGGCGCAGTTGCACCAGCGGCGGAAGCTCCGCCTTGGCAGCTAAGACGAGTTGCCGCCGCCGGCTCGGGATCCACCAAGAACCCGCCCCGAATGCGACCGTGTTTCCTGCTGGCTGGGTATATACGACTCCACTTGCTTGCGACGACGACGAGGCGTGGATTACATCACTCTGGATATACTTCAAGACTTCACAGTTTCGGTATTGCTTTTGACGACGTGACGTTGAACTAGAGTTCAGCTGCCAACTGCAATTCACTCAACCGGTCTCATCTGATCAGCTTACACCACATCTCACCATCAACCAGCACACTACAACCCCCTTGAGCAACATGACAGCAGAAGAGATCCTCAACGACAACACTAAACCCCCATCCCCCTTCCCCCTCGAGAAACCCCCAACCCACCACCATTCCAACCACCACGCCGCGAAACCAACCCCCCAAATCATCGCCCACCGCGGCTACAAAGCCCTCTACCCAGAAAACTCCATGCTTGCCATCCAAGAAGCCATAAAAGCAGGCGCCCACGCCATCGAGACAGACGTTCACGAATCAAAAGATGGAGTCGTAGTTCTATCCCACGTACGTCTCACCCCCCATCCCCTTCCACAACAACACTAACCCCC